CCTTTCCCCACCTGTGGCCATTGTACAGATGGGGAAACTGAGGCCAAGAGGAGCCAGGACCAGCCTGGGTCACAAGAGCATAGAGTCTCCTGCCTGGTCCTTGGCCACTCCTTCCCCTTGTTCAAGGCCTGGGGCTGTGCCTCTGGGAAGCAGGCCACATCCTGTTGGTGGCAAAGCAGCCCTGCTGGGAAGTCCTCCTTGGAGTCAGACTTCCACTCAAGGCTCCAGGGGCGTGGGATGGTGCAGAAATTCCTCTTCTCCGAGTCCTCGTGGTTGCCTCGTGCCACCTGTAGCCAGAGTTGCTGGGCAGTTCCTGCCCCTCTGGGGGCCGCAGTCCCCCAATCTGTGCAGCTGAGCAGGGACTAGGGGCTCTGCATGGGTCTGTATTTACGGGCACCCAGCATGTGGTGGTGGGTTTGCACGTGTGCCCTGGTAGGTGAGCTGCAGCCCCTGAGCCTGCTCACGTCCAGACAGGGTCCCCAGGACCTGCTGCACAGCAACATTTGACCTACTTCTAAGGCTCTGGGTCTGGCCCAGGCCGCGTTCTCGACTCCTCCGGGAAGTGTGGGCCTGCGTCCCAGCCCAGAGGCCGTGGGCCAGGAGGGGCGGGCCCGGGCGGCCTGCGGAGCCTGCGGCCAGGGGGACAAGGGCACGTGGGGAGCCCGACCCTCCTTCCCTGCCTCTGTCTTCTGGGCCCAAGGGACACCAGGCCTTACCCATCCGTCCCTCCCTCCCCTTACTCCCCACCACTCCCTCCACGTGGCCACCATATTCTGAGCTCTCCAAATTGGCTCTGACAGGATGAGGGACATTCCTCATGCCCCTCTGAACACTACAAGGAAGGTCTGCCAGCACTTACCCCTGCTGTTTGTCAAGAGTTTACCCCACCACCTCCTGCTCTTGTCTATACAGGGCAGCAGGCCATGCCAGTCTGGAAAACCAGCAGCCCCTGTCCTGGGTCCTGGGTCTGGGGTCTGGGTTTGGGTTTGCAGGCCTGGAGTCTGGGTTTAGAGTCCTGGGCCTGGGCCTGGTGTCTGGGGTCTGGAGTCTGGGTTTAAGGTCTGGGTTTGGCATCCTAGGTTTTGGAGTCTGGGTCCCCAGAGTTGGGTCTGGTCCTGGGTTCTGGGTTCCAGGTTCTAAGTTTGGGATTCAGATCCTGAGAACTGAGTCTGGGGTTTGTATTTGGGGTTCCAGTTTCCAGGTCTGGAGTCTGGGGTCTAGTTTGGGATCCTGGGTTCTGGGGTTTGGGTTCAGGAGCCAGAGGCTGGTTCTTATCCCTTCTACGCCCCCTGCTGGCTGGTCATCACGGTCAGGTCACTGTCTATACCGTGGGATCACCCCTACTTCTTTAGGCTAAGAGGAGTCTCAGCAACAGCTGGGGAGTGGCATGAAGAGCAGGCCTGAGCTGAGGTGTCTGCAGGTGCGCTGAGGCAGCTGCTGGCTGCACTGCTGTCCCGGGGTGCCCCCTGCCATCACCAGAACTCTAGTCAGTCAGTCAACAAATGCCCCCTCCCCAATCTCCCCTTGCCCCACTCCCGGATGGGGTTTGGCAAGGGGTCCCTGTCCCCCTGTGAGAGGCAGGCACATTGAGATGTTTGGGACATTTGCTCATCCAACATTTATTGAGTGCCTACTGTGTACTAGGCTCTGTTCTAGACTCTGGGGATATATAGCTATGGAAGAATAAAAATTCCTCCTATGCTGACACTCATGGGAGGAGGGATCCACATAAGAGACAAGAGAACAAAGAGACAAGCTCATTTTAGGGTATGCAGGGATGGGGAGACAGGGCAGAGGGAGCAGGTCCAGGGTTGTCTGAGGAGGCTTCTCAGAGCAGGTGACATCCCACTGAGACCAGGCGGTGACAAGGAGCAAGCTATGGCCAGGGTCCCAGACAAGGGTACCAGTGGGAGGAAATAGCCTGTGCAAAGGCATGGGGGTCTGGAAAGAACCTAGATGGAGGCTGGTGTGGCCAGGGGTCTCCTGCCTCTATCTGTGGGCTCCTGAGGAGTCAGGGCCCATAGCATTCCCATTGGCTGGGGGGAGGGGGAGGTAAGGTGGCTGCCCCCCGAGAGTGCTCTGGAACATGGCACGTGTGAGTCTGCATCAGATTGGGTCACAACTCAGACGCTGGAGCTGGGGAAGCCAAAGGGGTGGATCTAGACCCCCACCCCCGCCCCCAGGCTCTCCAGGTCCCCCAGGCCCTGCCAGGATCTTGCCTGCTGGGCTGTCATTCCTGAAGAGCACAGAGCTCAGGCTGGGACCTGGGAAAGAGAGGTGAGCGCCAAGCCTTGTTTGACCTGTCCTTGCTGCCCACTACCCGTCCCTCCCTCTCGCAACGCCCCCTCCTCTGTTCACCGGCCTGCCCACCTGCCCAACCCCTGCATTCCTCCTGGCCTGCTGGCAGTGAAGGGGCCTGGCCCTGGCACTGCTCTGTCTGATCTCTGCAGAGTCTCTGCTAGGGGCTGGACATTAGTTATAGGTTGAGAGTGGTCCTGTGGGGTGAGCCCTGGGGCACTGTTGGTCCCAGGAGCCAGAGCTCAGACAGTCAAAGGCCCTGCCTCAGCCTCCATCTGAGCCCTGGGGAGGCTCAGAGCCCTGCATGGCTCTGTGCACGGTGTCCCCATTGCAGGACCACATCTGCCCTGTATATGAGAGAAAGGGACCAAGACACCCCTTCCCCTACCCCTGGTCCCCAAAAGGCAGAAGAAGGTGGTGCTGTGTGGCTCTGGCTGGCTGCATGAGCCTGGCCACCCCATATCACAGAACTGTGGCCCAGGAGGCCCATGTCACTCACCTACCCCTGTTCAAGCTGACACTGGGTGGTTTCCGAGGGATGGTAGTTATATGTGAAAGAAAGAAATGAAGTGGGGAGTCTGGGTGACCCTGAGTATGTCCTCTGCCCTGGGCCTCGGTTTCCCCCATGATAGATGAAAGGCAATTGGTAGTGTCTTGTTGGCTGGGCCTGTGGGTGGTTGGAGTCCCCGTGGGACATCCAGAGTCAGTTGTCCTGAGGGTCAGTAGGCATGGGCAATGGGGCTGCCCAGAGGCCTCTCTCTGTGTTCCCTCTGGCTGTCTGCTCCTCTTGTGGTGTTTCTGGCTTGCCTCTATGGACCGTCCCCCACCCCTTTCTTTCTTAATACTCTTGCCAAACATCTGGAAGAAAAGTGAAAAACTTACCTCCCCCCCAGCACCGGATGTTGTCAGATTTCCAAATGTGGGGTGTTCTGCCCTCCAGATGAGGGGAGGAATGTCCTGTGTTCCAGCTGGATGGGGGCCTACCCCCATCTCTGGACTGCTGTCCCCTTCACCATGAGGCTCAGTGACAGGATGAGTGAGACCGGGGCCAGCAGGAAGGCAGTGGGGGTACCCAGGTATGCACCCCACTGATTCCTCCCCTCAGGCTCCAGCCCCAGTCCCGCTCCACACCCGGGAAATCCCGTGGGGCCTGGGGGTGGAGTGGGGCATTGCCTCTGAAGTTTCTATCAAAGGCTCCAGGCATTTAAAAATAACAAGGAACACCTCCTTCCCACCCGCAGGCACAGATGCTGGGCAAGGAACGGGCCCAATGTGTTTGCAAGATGTCCCCACTCTCAGAGTTCTGTGCCTGGAGCGGCCTCATGCCTCCTCAGCTTTGCCACCTCCCCCCACCTCCGCAAATGGAGGCCCAGCCGGGCTGCACTCTGTCACTACCAACTGCCGAGGGCCGGGCACTCCAGGGTGAGCACGAGGGTAGGAACTAGGGGTGAACATCCTGAGCTGAGCATGAGAGGGCAAACATCCCCCAGCCCCCTGAGGTCCCTCAGAGAAGCAGACTCCCTCAGGGCCCCCACCAAAAAGGTCGACAGAGTGGGAACAGCATCCTGGAAGAGGGGGCATGTGCCCAGTGGAGGAGGGGCCAGGGCACTCCGGGCAGAGGGTACAGTGTGTACAAGGGTCTGACGGGGAGCAGGCCCCGAGGTGTGTGGGGAAAGTGGGTCACGGGGAGCTGTGGGAGGGGGCAATAGGAAGCAAAGGTGAAACTGAGAAACCGGCCTCAGGGCCAGGCAAGTGCTGATGAAGGAGGCTGTGGGTCTGTCTGGCTATTGAACTGGGCCGAGTGACTGTCCTCAGGGAGCAGCACCCTTCCACTCCCCCTTGGGGTGTTCCTGGAGACCCTTGGACCTATGGCTGGGCTGCAGCTGCCTGTGAGTCAGGACCAGACACTCACATGCAAACACTTATAAACACTCAGACACAAACACACGGAAACAACACTCACAGACACACTCACATAGACACACCCAGACATGTGCACACGTGTAAACATCCAGACACAGATCCACAGAGCCTACACCCAGAGATAGGACGGGCCATCCCCCACATAGACAACAGGCGCAGCACACATGGACTCCACCCACATAAAGACACCCAGACAACATACACAGATACACACAGACCCTCCCACCATAGAGACACAGACACACATACAAACACTCGGACACACAGAGACCGCACACACAGACATCCCCCCAACACACACATAGATGCACAGACACAGACACATGGGAATTCAATGCACAGATGGGAAGTTTAACTCAAGAGGTTCCCGTAGGTAATCCCAGTCCTTTTCCCCCCAACACAACACACGACGCACACTTGGTGCAACCTTCTGCACCTGTTCAATGTATTGACCTGCTAAGAGGCAGCGGGGCCCCTGTGCATGTGTGTGTGTGTTTGTGTGTGTATTCGAGGGTGTGTGTGTGTGTGTGTGTGTGTGTGTTGAGCAGTGGCCTCTGTCCTCCCCTCCTCCTCCCTTTTCCCAACAGGTCATTGGGAGGAATAGAGAGCCCTCCCTCTTCCCCACCCATTCCCGAGCCTGCACAATGGCCTCTCCAGGCCCCAAAATAGCCCCTGAGCCTAGCCAATGTCCTTTTATGGCCCTGTCCCTATTGTGCACTGCGGGGGTGGGGCTGGGGTCAGGAGGTATCCAGGCAGGATAAAGGCCAGGCCCAGGACGCTCACCTATCCTGCTCTCTGCTTCCTTCTCTCCACATCCCTCTCTGTGCTTACAGCCTCCATGGCCCCCAAAAAGCCAGAGCCCAAGAAGGATGATGCCAAGGCAGCCTCCAAGGCGGCTCCAGCTCCCCCACCGGCACCTGCACCTGCACCTGCCCCCGAGCCCCCCAAGGAGGCTGAATTTGATGCTTCCAAGGTCAAGGTGAGCGTGGGAGCTGGGTTCTGACAGGAAAGGCAGGGCAGGTAAGTGGATCACAGAGTGGACCTACCCAGTACCAGGCCAGCCTCCAGAAAGTGAGCACTGAACTTAAGCTGGAAGCTTCTGTTCAGAGGTCAGACAAGCCCTGGGGGCTTCAGGCATCAGGAGGGCTGCAGCAAGAGGGATGGTGGTCAGACATTAGGCAGGACTCTCCCAGTGCTGCTGAAGGGAGTGTCTTTTTGGTGGTTTCGGAAACCGATTCTCTCTTGCCCTTCTTCCTGGACCTCACATCCTTGGGGAATCCTGGAGCCACCTGTCCCCCACCCATGCAGCCAGGCGGGGATCTTCCTTGTCCAGCTGTTGGGTCTCAAGTCCGTGCCAAGTTCCCCATGGTGGACAGGGTGGGGGTTAAAGAGAAGTGAGACCCCTGCCCAGGCTGGGTCACACTCGCCCCTGCCGAGGTGCCTGTGCCCCAAAGCTGGTAGGGCCTCAGCTTTTTGGTGGGGAAGTTGAGGCAGAGGCTAGGTAGGTCATGCAGGAAGTTGGTCTCAGAGCTGTGACCGTGGCCCCAGAAGGCCTTTCCCGGCTGGGCAATCTTCTTCAGTGCCTAAACTTGGAGGACGAGCCATGACTCCCACCTCTGCCATCTGCATAGCGGCACGCACCCTGCGTCCTGCCTGTTGCCTGTTCTTGCCTGGCCACCGGCCAGTGCTACCCTGGCTGCTGGCTGACAGGCCCTAGGAGCGCTCCCAGCCCCTCATGGTTCCTGCATGCCCAGCCAGGCCTGCAGCCCATCTGCACAGATCTACCTCCTGTTCGGAACCCTTCCTAGAGGCACCTATCCTACCCCTCAAGACACAGGTTCAAATCCCAACTCTGCTCCATCCCCTTTGCTGCTCTGTGGCTTGGTTTCCTCAGTGGTGAAATGGGACAATAAGCCCTCCTCGCAGGCTGTGGGGAATCATTCACAGAGAGTGCTCCCTGGAGTTGGCTCCCTGACCCCCAACCACCCCCAGACCCCAGGCTTGTGTCCCACAGGCTCCCTGGTGAGGGTCCCACCACCCTGGGCCCATGGTGGCATTGTCCAGTCTCACTGGATCTGAGGTTAGCACAGCCTCCTCTCTGAGAGGAGGGAATAGTAAGGCCTCTTGTGTGTCCCCCTGCGTCTCCCCCTTGGGCTGGCTGGTGAAGGGCAGAAGGCTTTGCCAGGAGCCCGGGGAACCTAATCTCAGCAGGCTTCCTGGTGGAGAGAGAGCTCTCAGGGGGCCAAGATCGACAACTTGTTCTTCCCAACACTGGACTGAACCAGAGAGCCGGCAAGGACAGCCATGGAGGGTGGCAGGGAAGGTCTCCCTCTGTGCTGGTGTGCACTCTGGAGGTTGTTGGGACTCCAAGGGCACAGCAGTGGGAGGGGTGCCAGTCACGCCCCCCTCCCCCAAGGTCCTTTCCCTCATGCAGCCTTGACCTTGGAGTCAGTGACTGAGTGATAAAAATAGACCTAGTATCGGGTGAGGAGGGGGAAACCGGGTCCCAGGAGGCCTCCTGACCCCAGGTGGCCCTGTTGAGGCCTCAGCAAACACTCAACAGCACTGCCCTGGCCCCATGCTGTGCTGCAGTGGGGGCTGCCCTGGGCTCACGATGGGGGTGGGTAACACCTAGGTGTAGGCAGGGCCATGTGAGAGACAGTGCTCAGCCTTGAGGGCTCTGTGAGGGGCAGACACATGTAAATGCATGCACACACATGTGTGTGTACTTGCATGTACATTGCATGTACATTGCACAGACACACACACATCCCTTCCTATGGATGTGCTCTCATGCTATAGAAGCCCTCTGGCCTGCACCGTCACCCTTGCTCCTCCTATCTCTGCCCCAATGGCCCTGTGAGATAAAACCTCCCATCTCACTCATGTGGACAGTCCTGCCCACTGGGCCCCAGGCCTGGTAGGGGTGGCAAAGCCAGTCTGGTCAGATCTTGTGGCTTCAGGTACCCCTGTCCAGGACCAGGGGCATCAGGTAAGGCCCACCTTGGGCTGGGGACTCAGGGCACCAGGCCTCCCTCCACACCACTTCCCCAGCTGTGGCTCACCAGGTTTCAGGATCAGGGCACATGTAGACCCAAGGCCCTCAGGTTGGACAGGTGGGGAGGTAAGGAGGCAGGAGGGTGTCAAGGTGGACAGCAGGAGGTCCTGGGTGGTGGAAGCTGGGATGCTGGGACGGGGACAGGTTGGGACAGCTGAGAGGTTGAGGCCTGGGCTGGCCACGGAGTGACCAGGAGGAGGCCTGCCCCAACCTCTGAGCAAGGCACTTAGAATCTTTGGGGTCTCCTTTCAGATCGAGTTTACACCAGAGCAGATTGAAGGTGAGTGGAGGTCTTGGGCCCAGGGGCTGCAGGGTTGGGCCCAGGTCCCCAGTCTGAGAGTCCCCAGCAGTGTGGGGTGAGTGGGGGGTGCTGACTCAGGGAGCATCCACAGCTCATGCCCTCTCCCTGCAGAGTTCAAGGAAGCCTTCACGCTGTTTGACCGCACGCCCAAGTGTGAGATGAAGATCACGTATGGGCAGTGTGGGGATGTCCTGCGGGCGCTGGGCCAGAACCCCACGCAGGCCGAGGTGCTCCGCGTCCTGGGGAAGCCAAAGCAGGAAGGTTGGTACACCCAGCCTGAGACCTCGCCGTCAGTGCTGGTCCCCGGAGACTGCCAGGGTGGGCTGACATCTGTAGAAGGACAGCACGGGAACCTCCCTGCTGTGCACTGTCCTGACATCCTGCCATTGTCCGGATGAGGGCTCTGAGGCCAGTCTCAGGTGATGCTTACCAGGTGACGAGCAGTGATGGTTCTCTGTACTCTCTGGCCCCATGCCAATTCATCAGGTCTGCTAGTCACGGGAGACTGATGAGAGTGCAAACTACCTTCAGTGGCTGGTGTGAGGTGGGCTAGGGGCCCCGGCCTTCCCGTCCCATGTGCTCTCTCTGCCCCTCCTTGCCTCCTCGGCATCTCTGTGGGTCAGGGCCAGCTTCCCTCACCACCCTGGCCAGAGAGGGTTGCCTGCTTTGCCCCAAGGAGGAGTGAGACCCAAGCCCTCGTCATGGGTTCAAAAGTCCCAGGGAATGTCTCTGATTGGCCCAGCTGCTCCTGACCAGTCACAGGTGGGGGGAGGGTGGGTCTATAAGAAAATGACACTAGGGAGGACTGTTCCCCAAAAGGAGAACAGGAGTGCTGGACAGAGCCCACTGTGGTGTCACTGCAGCAAACTCTCCTTGTGAACAGCAAAGGACCATGGAAACAATGCATTTCTTGGTTAACTGTAAAGTGTCTTGTGATGGTGGAGTGCATTGTAAATGGCAAACTGTACAGAGTGCTTTGGGAACTATGTGAGAGCAACAACTCCTCATTATAAGGCACAGAGGAAGGGTGTGCCCATCCTACCCCTCAGCACCTGGGACTCGGGACCTCTCTCCACAGAGCTTAACACTAAGATGATGGACTTTGATACGTTCCTGCCCATGCTTCAGCACATTTCCAAGAACAAGGACACAGGCACCTATGAGGACTTTGTGGAGGGGCTGCGGGTCTTCGACAAGGAGGGCAATGGCACCGTCATGGGCGCTGAGCTCCGCCACGTGCTGGCCACGCTGGGTGAGGGCAGCCTCCTCCCCACCCCCATTCCTCCTTCCGGGGGCATCCTGGGAGAAACCACTCTGTCGCCTGCTGGGCCTGTGTCTCACCTGTGAAATAGAGAGTGACACTGTCAAGGTGCCTCTATGGCAGGCAACAGAAATGTGGGGAATTTAGAAATTTAGGTGGAGGATAATGAAAGTGTGTTGGTGCAGCTCACAGAACCTAAGGGGGATGGCAACAGCTCTGGGGACAGGGTGGGGCGAAGTTGTGCGTCCAGGAGGATCAACTCAGTCCTGGTGCTCATTGCCTCAAGGTCAGGGCCACATCATCTGAGTGGCTGAGTAGGTCACGTGCCTACCTCTTGGGCATTCTGACCCCAACTGTCAGGTGCCCGGCTGGCAGGGACGCCCCCTTCTCCAAGGGACTTTTTCCTACAGCAAATGTTAGTGAGCACCTGTGTCTGCTTAAAGTGACTTTTCCTGCAGCAAACATTTATTGAGCACTTACTGTGTGCTCGGAGCTGAGCTGGTCTCTGGGGTTATGTGTGTATATGTGTGGCTGAGGGGGTACGAGGCAGGAGAGAAACTGCAGTTGGCATTCCAGTGGGAGACCAGCACAACACACACAAAAGCATAGAGGCAGGGGACTGGCCCAGTAGTGTAGTGGTTAAAGTTCGGCGCACACCACTTCTGCAGCCTGGGTTCGCTGGTTCAGATCTGGGGCATAGACCTATACTGCTCATCAAGCCATGCTGTGGCTGCATCCCACATACAAAATAGAGGAAGATGGGCACAGATGTTAGCTTAGGGCCACTCTTCCTCAAGCAAATATAGGAAGACTGGCAACGGGTATTAGCTCAGGGCCAATCTTCCTCACCAAAAAAAAAAAAAAAAAGAATAAAAGCATAGAGGCAGGAAAGTGCCAGACTTGTCTGGGGAACAGTGGTAGTGTCTCTTGGTCTCCTCCACAGTTATCCCCCAAGGTTTCCGGCTCTATCCCCACCAGCCTATCGAGGTCAGAGGACAGGGTGTGCTGGTGGTTTGAACACCAAGATGGCACTGTAATGAACAGAGCCCAGGCTCAGAGGGGGCACCAGGCCTGCATCCCCAGGCCCACCCTTTTTGATTTGTCACTGATTCTCTTGGTCTCAGAGGTGGGGGTGATGGCCAAGGCCTTGTGAGCAATGGTGGCTGTGGCAACATGAGGTGTGGGGATACTGGAGAGGCAGACCCACCATCCAGGGGGTTCAGGGGATCCTCCCAACCTTTGCACGTCCGGATGTTCCTGACTCGGCCTCCCACCCCTGCCAGGTGAGAGGCTGACAGAAGACGAGGTGGAGAAACTGATGGCTGGGCAAGAGGACTCCAATGGCTGCATCAACTACGAAGGTAGGCTGAGCAGGGCAGGGGTCTGCTGGGGGGGCATTGGGACCCTAGGCTCCCACCCTTGGCTACCCAGGGCTAAACCCTTGCCACTCACTCTCCCCTTCTTTCCAGCATTCGTGAAGCACATCATGGCCAGCTGAACCTCTCACCCCAGGTGAGACCCCCTCACTCCCTTCCAAACCTGCTGCCACCTTTGCCACCTCTGCTGATCTCAGCCTTGTTGTCCCCATCATGCCTCTGTCACCCAAATCCCTTGTTGCCGCCTCCCCATCTCCACCAACTCCAGTTCTCATTTGACATGCTGCTGCCTTGCTTGATCCCCTCCACCGTACCCTGCAATCGCCTTTGCTCTCAGGGAGCCCAGGGGAGGCCATGCTGGGGACAGCTCATTCCCCATTCATGATGCTGACACCAGTGGCCTGGAGTTGTGGGAAGGAGGGGAGCGCATCAAGACTCCTGCACAAGCTCCCTCTGCTCAACCCTGCAGACCTGTCTGCCTGGCTGTCATCTCATGTCCCTATTAGGCTACACTTACCTGTGACTGCATCTCTGTCCCTACCCCATTAGCCCCATGAATAAACGGCTTCTTTCCTTCTTTCTGTCTTTCCTTCTTCCCTCTCATCTCCTCCCTCCCTCCCTTCCTTCTTCCTTTCCTTCCCTCTCTCCCTCCCTCCCTCCTTCCTTCTTTCCTCTCGGTGGTCCTTTGGTTGACTTCTGTAAAGTCTATGGGCCACACATAGTGAGCCTGGGACAAAACAAGGCGAGTCGTTTTGAAATGCTGCTCATCCCACCAAAACTGCCCCATATGGTGTGCCAAACCCTCTGAGCCTGCCCACCAGGATAGGAGCAGGGCCGAGCTAGAAGAGGTCTGGGGGACCCTCCCTTTCTTTAGCCCCCCCTTCTCTTTTCTGGAGATGGCAGCTGTGCTATGGCCTCAAACACAGAGATGCCACTGGGAGCCTGAGAGCACTGTCTGAGCTGTCTCACTCCATAACTGGCAATCAGGGAACCATGGGGCATTGGCCCAGAGCCACCTACGTCACAGGTGGAGAAACTGAGGCCCAGAGCCTGAGTCATACTGGGAATGGGTGGTAGGGCAGGAGCTAAATTTGTCCCCAGGCTGTCAGAGCTGAAGAGGCCTTAGACCCCTGCCTGACTCAGCTAGGGAAACTGAAGCACTCTGCCTGCAGTGGGGATCTAGGCTAGAGGCTAGGGGCAGCATCCAGGGTCCACCAGTGGGTTCCTCAGCCCCAGGCTCCTCAGCAGGAGGCAAGTGTGTAGTCCAAGTGTGCAGCGACAGGAGGTGGTGCATGCCCCTCTGCAAACCCTGCCCCATCCCACACCCTGCTCTGGGGCCGGGACCCTCCCCTTGGAGCCCAGCGGGGAGAGTGAGGGGAGGCTTCCTGGAGGAGGTGAAACACCGGAGTTTGATGGAGAGAGAGAGCAATGCCTTGCAGGGAGGCTGGTTGCCCTAGAGATATACCCACATTCATAGCAGCATTATTCACAACAGCCAAAAGGGGGAAACACCCTAAGTGCCCACCAACAGATAAATGGAGAAACAAAATGTGGTACATCCATACAATGGAATATGATTCAGCTTGAAAGAGGAAGGAAATTCTGACACATGCTGCAACATGGATGAACTTTGAGCATATTATGCTAAGTGAAATAAGCCAGTCACAAAGGGACAAATACTGGATGATTCCACTTACATGAGGTACTTAGAGTACTCAAATTCATAGAGACAGAAAGTGGAATGGGGGTTGACAGGAGCTGGGGAGAGGGGAGAATGGGGAGTTATTGTTAAAGAAAAGAACAACAAAAAGAGAGTAGAGACAGAATGTCTTAGGCTGGGCTTCCTCAGAAGCAGAGCTGTGACAAGGACCTGAATGCAAGGAGTCTCCCTGGGAGGTGACCCCAGGAGCATGGGAGAGCAGCTGGGGAGGGAAGGAAGTCTCTACGGGGTGTGTGGGAGCAGATGGAACTGTGGGCAATGGGGGCTCAACCCACTGGGGACCTTTAGGAGATAGTGGAGTTGTCCCACCAAGGGATGAGGAAACCAGACTATTTATCCACCACCTCCCATTCACTGTAAGGGCCGGGCTCCGAAGGCAGACTGGAACATTTGTGTGGGGCACTTCAACATCTGCTCCAAGGAGCCATGCAGGCATCTGAGGGAAGACTTTCTGGCAGAGGGCACAAAGGCTCTGAGATGGAAGCAGAGAGCATGATGGGGAGGTGACAGGACACGGGTCAGGTGATGCAGGGCCTGTGGGCACTGGAAGGGCTTTGCTCTGGGGAGATGTTTTATCAGCATCATTGTGGCTGCTGTGTGGAGAATAGACTGGGGGGCATCAGCAGAAGCAGGGAGACCCATTAGGAGGGTCCAGGAGAGAGAAGCAGATGCACTCTTGGCCCAGTGGAGATGGTGAGAAGTGGCCGAATTCTAGGTCATTCTTTTCTTTTCTTTGTTTTTTTGGTGAGGAAGATTAGCCCTGAGTTAACATCTGTTGCCAATCTTCCTCTTTTTCCTGAAGAAGATTGGCCCTGAGCTAACATGCATGCCCATCTTCCTCTATTTTATATGTGGGACACCTGCCACAGCATGGCTTGATAAGCGGTGCGTAGGCCTGCACCCGAGATCCGAACCTGCGAACCCCGGGCCACCGAAGCAGAGCGCGTGAACCCAACCACTACGCCACCAGGCTGGCCCTCCAGGTCATTTTTAAAAACACTCTCAGCAACATCTCGGGTGGATTTTGAGGCTTTCCGGTTCCTTTCCTTACCTGAACGCAGTCCACTGCAGGCCCAGATCTGGTGCAGGGGGAAGGGAGGGGCCGTGGTCTGCTCTTTCACTGTGTATAGTCTGGCTGGAATCGAGGCACCTGTGGCCTCATTGTGGTGGCCTCAGCTAGTGGGGGTGTCTCCATGTGAGTGTGTGACCTTGCTGAACACTGGATAGCCTCCCTGGCCACTTGGTGGCTGAGGACCCCTACAGAGGAGAGCAGGACCTTCCTTTGGCCCCAGTCAGGGCAGGGAGCCACCTGATGTGGCCAATATCCCTGTGGGCAGCCCCCAGCTCCTGCACGTTCCAGCCACCTTGCTCCTGGTCACCAAGCCCAGGAATAGCTGAGCTCCCCTTCAAAAGTCTCCAGGGACCACCCAGGCCTGGGTGGTCCCAGCATTTTCTTTCTGGGGATGCCCGCTCCGGGCTGGAGTCCTACAGGCTGGGATTGCACTTGTTCTCAGTCATCTCCAGGCAAGAAGTGTCCCTGCCTCGAAGTTCACATATGCCCCGGATCCCAGGGGATATATGCCCTACTCTCTCAAGAATGCCTCCCCTCCTCCAGTTTCCAGGATGGTCCTGCAGTGTCCCCAGCCCTCCCCCAAACATACCCTCCTTCTTGCAGGCTCCCCCAGTTCCTGGGAGCTGCCGCCCCTCTTGGCTTCTCTGGGCAGTGGAAGGGAACATCCCACACATCCCCCCAAGACACTCTGCAGCCCCCACCCTCCAGTCCTCCTGTGTGGACTAAGAGGGGACGGGCTGGGGTGGCTGGTGGGGGCAATGTGGGGCTGTCGTGTCTGATGAGCTCTGGCTGGGGCTATTTGGTCCCACTTATTGGGGGTCAACGCTACTTAAAACGTGTCTCTGTCCCAGCCATGGCCTTGTTGCCACTCTGGGGCCATTTACGTGTTATATGTGGCAGTGCTGACCACGTGTGGGCTGTCTTGTTCAGGGGCTCAAGTCACTGGCTGTGGGTCTGTGTCAGAGTCGAGGGGGTGGAGAGACCTAGAGGTGGAACTCAGCTTCAGGGGTGAGGGTTCTCTTCGCCCAGCATCCTCCACCTGCCTTGGCTGGGTGGAATGTGTGTGTATTTCTTTGTGTCCCTGTGTGTTTGTGTGTGCATATGTCTGTGTATTTGTGTGCCTGTGTATTTGTGTCTATGAGTGTGTAAGTACCCGTGTGTGTATACCTGTACCTGTTTGTGCATATGCACATGGGTGTTTACCTCTGTGTGTGCATGCATGACTGTGTCTGTTTGTGTACGTGCTGGGGGGCTCTGCTGAGTCAGCACTGGTGCTGGGCGGGCGGCACTGCCAGCCAGGGTGTGGCCTCCCCACAGTTGCATAAACACTGGTCCCAGCTCCCCCCTCAAGCAGGGTGGTCCAGCTTGTGGCCCTGCAGCCAGTGGAAAGGATGGGAGGGGGCAAGCGGCTTGTCCTCCTGTCAGCCTGGTCCCCTCCATGTGTCAAGTGCCAGGTCATGTGCCTCATAAGGCTGGGGTCTGGTCTGGGGTCTGTCTATGCCTCACTTCCCCCATCTGGCCTGGGGCCTGATCTCTGAGGTCTCTCTAAGGTGGCAGTAATATTCACCTCTCCAGTCCCAGCACAGGCTGAACCAGAGGGTCAGTGGGGCAGCCAGGGACTAGGGGACCTGGGGCAGGGTTGAGCCTCAGGACCCCAGAACCAACCGTCCCTCCTCTGCTCTGACGTCCCTGAATGGACACCTGTCGCTCTTGGCAGCCTGCCACACTCTATCCTCTCTCCCAGATACCATCTGCAGGGATCCTGGGATCACCACTGGGACATGGATCAGATGGCACTGAGTGGGGGCCCAAGAAGGTCAGAAATTCAGACCGAGGTAGAATGAAGTCAGGCAGGGTCTTGAAGAAATCAAATGTTGGAGGAAAATCTTACCAAGTCACAAGAAGGAAAGAAATCAGACTGCGGTACGAGAAATTGAACTATAGGGCTCAAAGCACTCAGCGGTAGAGGAGCTGACAGAAAGCTGATGAAGACCTTAAGAGAGGTCAGGAGGTGGAGTAAAAGGGTCCAAGCAATGGAGTGTATGAAATCAGAGGGTAGGTGGAGATGAGGTGGGAGGATAGGAGGAGGCGCAAAAGAAATTGGGCAGCGGTTTGACAGGCAGCCCTCATGTTGCATAAGTGGGTGCTTGGCAGTGCCAGGCTGGAGTGCTCTGCTCTTGGTCCTGAGGCCTTGGGTGGTGGGGAGGGTGGAAGGGAGGGGGCAAGGATGGGCCTGTCTGGACCCAGGCATACCCTGGAGAGTGTGTGACCTAGTCATCTCGGAGAACAGGAGGAAAACCCCAGACTTGAACCTGGTGACCCAGCACAGAAGTGACTCCCTGGGATTCTCCCAAGTACCTTCCAACCAGCCCCAGGTCCAACCCTGCCCAGATTTGGGGGTTATTTGTTCCTGCCCTCTCAAAGCCACACAATCCTGGTTTGCCCCAAATGCTGACAGAGCACAACTGGAATGTGGAGTGTGTGTGAGTGTGTGTACATGAGGTTCCCCAGGGCCGACCGCCCAACAGGCCACCTCCAGTCTCAGCAGCCAGGGCCCAGGACCCCTTGGTTGGGGAGGGGCCCAGAAGGTCAGGGCTGGGAAGGGCTCAGCCTGGCTGAGGACGCCTGGGTTCCACCACTTTCTTTCAATCTCTGTTTCCTTCTCTGACCTATGGGTCCGGGTACCTCACATATCCACTGAGGCCTTGGTGAGAATGGGTGCATCAGAGCCTTTCTGGAGGGCTAGGGGGATGGGGGTGAGGCAGCTGGAAGACTCTTGAACTCC